TCTAATGTTTGTGACAATATCAACATAAAATTAAGTTTTCGTTTCGTTACAAGGCATTCATACTTTGGAGATATCATATTTAATGTACAGAAAAGTTAATATTAAACAATACATGCTAAAGAATTAATAAATAAGATAATAAAATAAATTATACGTAATTACTTTCATTTAATATGCTTTATGCTGTATAATATTGATTAAGAGGCATTAAAAGGTTCCATAGTCTGCTTTTATAGGCAAGATTTTTGATAAAAATTTTAAATTTTGAAAAATGATGAGAAAAGGAAAAAAAAGGTAAATGAGAGCAAGAGGAGGGAAAAAAAGAAAAGAAAAGAAAGGGAAGGGAAAAATAAAAGAAAGAAGGACATATAAAAATTTAGATGCGCATTCTTAATGCCGAGGCGGCTTGCCGCCGAGGCGCGATTTTTTTAGGCCTCTACGGTAACCCGGCAATGTTTTTTTAAATCTTGTACAGCCCTAGATTTTTGAATTTTAAGAATTTTTTTCGAATTTTTTCGAAAAAAAAAATATTTTCAGAATATAGATCCGTATTTTTCCCAAGTGAGGGGGGTATCTCCAATCCCAGCCCTATCGTCCTCCCAGTGTCAGTTTTCAATATAAAATCCAAATTTTTTTTGAAAATAAAAATTTCGAGAAATTTTTCTGATTTTTTTTCTTTGATTTCAATAATTCAAAATAAATTTGGGAGTAAAAAGACACTATTTAATGAAATTCATATGAGTGAATGTGGATAAATACTCTCAAAACATACAATTTATCTATTTTTTCTTTATATTATCAACTAATTAGTGATAATTTTTTTTGAATCAGATTTTTTTTCATTAAAAACATAATATATAACACAACAATGATGCACACATACGTATCTACACATCAAAATATAAAGCTTGTTTTGGTCTGGGCATCCCAACCCAAAATTCTTTAAAAATTGAATAAAATTGAATACTTGGGGCTGGGATACCCATCCCAAAACCGAATTGAATTTTTTGAATTAAAGAATATATTTATGTATTTATAATATACATGTGATGTCTATAAAAAATACTAAATTCTAAAAAAATTCAATTTATTCAAAACGTATACTAAGTGATCACTTCATTAGTAGGATCAGCAATCCTACTAAATGGTGAGAACGCCACTAACTAAAAAGGGAGTCATTGGAGCTCTTGATCTCTTGTCAGTAGAGTTCATAATGAGGCATGGCATCTACTGATTAGAGATCAGAGCAATCCTACCTTACATTCAGGAGGCTACAAGCTCCTAATCGTTACGAGAGGGAGCCTTGGAGCTCCTGAAGCTCATCAGCAGAGGCTATTTACCATTTGGGCCTCTTCTGATGAAAGATGCGAAACACGTCTACGAACCAGGAGCTTCAAAGCTCCTAATCCTTACGAAAGGGAGCTTTGGAGCTCCTGAAACTCCTTTTACTATAAAATAGGACAGTTTTCTTCTGAGGTTCTCATCAAATCTAAGACTTCAGAAGAAAGCTGTCCTATCAATGTATACTTACACTCTCATGGACTACAAGTGTACAATTTTAAGGCAGAGATTATCGAGGCCTCTCATCAAATGAGGGACCTCGGATAATCTCTACCTTAAGTAGTCAAATAACTTTTCTACTATTTAGGAACAAAAGAACAAGAGTTGGAGTACTTTAAGGCAAGATTCTTCCGAAATCTCTCATCGAATGAGAGACTTCGGAAGGACCTTGCCAAATCCTTGAACGCCAATATCCTTGGAACTGAGCTAGAACCAGGGAGAAGTAGCATACTATAGAGCACGATGGTAATCTCGGAAATGCTTATATCGCCCCAAGCACAATATTTAAGAAGTCTAACTCATATATACAAGAAGTCAGGCTGAATAGATATTGTGCATATGGTTTGCAGAACTCTCATGATATTTAAAATTCATGTTATCCCAAAAAAGGTGACACTTTGGGTGTATCGTCCATCCCAGGGATGCAAAAATCACATCACCTTGGATCTATATTTCAGAACAGCCTTAACGGCTAAGATTTAGGAACAATGTTAAGTATCAAAAAGAAAGGAGGTCTGATATAGACAACATATATCGTTGAAGGTTGAAAAAATCTCTAATATTTGAGCCCAAAATTTCAAATTTTAATTTTTTGAAAAAAGAGGCCACCCGTATGTACGTTTATTTGAGAGGAGGAGGATTATATTTTTGAAAGGGTGAAACATTATGAATATGTTAATTATATAATAATATGTATTATTATAAAAAAGAAAAAATAAAGCACGTTAAAATTTTTCTTTCTTGATTTTTTACAAAATCTACTTAGAATTATGCAAAATATGACTAAATAATTATAAATTTCAAGTTAAATTTTAATTTTGATAAATAATTTAAATTTCAAAATATCAAGTTCAGTTCGACTATGTATGTAGTAATTCCTCAATAAAGTGCCAAAACCCTATTAAAATATATGAACATTTTCAACATTTTAATGTTTTTATTTAAAAATTTGTTGGAATATGAGCTTCAAACAATTATTATGTAAATAAAAATAATTAAATATATGTATTTATTCGTATTACAACCGTAGTAAGTCGATTCTTCCTTTCTTCTACTGAGTTTTGAATTTGATTTCGAATTGTAAAGAGATTCAAAGGAAAAACCAGAATTTTCGAAAAAGTGACACCAACTATTAAAGTTATTTTATTACTAGATTTATTTACAAATTATAAGATAATATCATTAACCGAATATATTTTTAATATAAATAAAAAACTTTTTTATACAAAAAATTACAATCAATCGATAAATATTATAAAACATTTATTCCAAAAAGATTAAGTAATAGGTGGGATCCTGCATATAATATAATTTTATGTCATAAAGTTTACAAATTTTAGATGGACCACAGTGAGAATGTGAGTGGTTAATTTAAAGGTGGTCTGATAAAGATATCGAAGCTTACTCAACACAGCATGAAGCAGTTTCTAATACACAATCTTACTAGTGGTGTTTCGGTCGCCAGCGCTCTCATAGGGGTGCTGATTTCAAAAACCACTACTTCAAATTATTCAACAATACTCAATGCAGCATGAAGCAGCTACTACTGCTGTATCTTACTGGTAGTGTTTTGGTCGTTGGCTCTTGCACAGTCTCTCAGATTTTCAAAATTTTTTTTTCAACACTATCTTGTTTCGCTCTCAGAAAGCTATCCTACAAAGACATCGAAGCTTACTCAACACAGCATGAAGCAGTTTCTAATACACAATCTTACTAGTGGTGTTTCGGTCGCCAGCGCTCTCATAGGGGTGCTGATTTCAAAAACCACTACTTCAAATTATTCAACAATACTCAATGCAGCATGAAGCAGCTACTACTGCTGTATCTTACTGGTAGTGTTTTGGTCGTTGGCTCTTGCACAGTCGCTCAGATTTTCAAAATTTTTTTTCAACACTATCTTGTTTCGCTCTCAGAAAGCTATCCTACAAAGACATCGAAGCTTACTCAACACAGCATGAAGCAGTTTCTAATACACAATCTTACTAGTGGTGTTTTCGGTCGCCAGCGCTCTCATAGGGGTGCTGATTTCAAAAACCACTACTTCAAATTATTCAACAATACTCAATGCAGCATGAAGCAGCTACTACTGCTGTATCTTACTGGTAGTGTTTTGGTCGTTGGCTCTTGCACAGTCTCTCAGATTTTCAAAATTTTTTTCAACACTATCTTGTTTCGCTCTCAGAAAGCTATCCTACAAAGACATCGAAGCTTACTCAACACAGCATGAAGCAGTTTCTAATACACAATCTTACTAGTGGTGTTTCGGTCGCCAGCGCTCTCATAGGGGTGCTGATTCCAAAAACCACTACTTCAAATTATTCAACAATACTCAATGCAGCATGAAGCAGTTTCTAATAAATATATACATATATAAATATATACATATATAAATATATACATATATAAATATATACATATATAAATATATACATATATAATATATACATATATAAATATATACATATATAAATATATAATATATAAATATATACATATATAAATATATACATATATAAATATATACATATATAAATATATACATATATAAATATATGCATATATAAATATATACATATATAAATATATACATATATAAATATATACATATATAAATATATACATATATAAATATATGCATATATAAATATATACATATATACATATATATATAAATATATAAATAACAAAATACAATCAAAAAATAGTGTTTGGTAATTTAAGGTTAAGTGTCACTTTTTCTAGTGTCACTTTTTCGTAAATTCTACCACACTCGTATTACAACCGTAGTAAGTCGATTCTTCCTTTCTTCTACTGAGTTTTGAATTTGATTTCGAATTGTAAAGAGATTCAAAGGGAAAATACTAGCGGATAAAAACTACCTCCATGAAAGGGTCATAATGGAGTCAAGTTGTATTTTTTGATATGTTTTGCTTTTCGAGCCTAAATAGGTAGCCAAGATAATGCCTAAAAATAAGGTTCTAAATTCTGAAGTTTACATGATCCTCTCGTGTGCACCCTTAACTTTTTAAGTTTTCTCCAAAAATAGATACTACTCATATGTATGAGCTACCTAAATGTTAATATCCCTATATCTCAGATAATAGTTCTGAGGGTGGTCTATCGTCAATCGGGCACCCTTAAATTTTTGACTATTTTTTTTAAATTATAAATTCCCTACAAATTCACCATTTATTCTTATGAAAATTAGCTATAATTTTAGGGGTTGCTAATGGCAGAAACGTGAGATTTGAATGGGGCTTCAGTTTTTTGTCTCAAACATATCCCAAATATAATTCTACATGAATAATATAAAAACTTCTATATTTATTGTTACAATCATTCATTTGAATGTTCCTCCGATATTTTTTCTAGTGTCTTCTATTATTGTAACTGCGCACTACGCGCCGATATAAGGGTAACAAAAAATTCATAAAAAAATTATGGAACAATTTATTGTAGAAAAATGGTGGACAATGACAATTCATTCTGGAAAACCAGAAAGACCACCAGTTCCAAAAGGTAGCCGTTTTTCTCTTCAGCAGATTCAAGCCGTTGATGAAAAATCCGATAAAATTTTAGTAGAAATGCTTACAGAAATTATTAGAATGGACAAGATAGATGATGAAACAGATACAACAGTTACAGATGTTGCTGAAACTAACATCGCAATTCTTTATCCAAAGAAGAAATCAACTTATTCCACTACTCTTATTTTCAGCGAAGTCAATGATGTCCTTTTCGGTTGCGACGGAGGTGATGTTGTTCTTAGCGGTGTTTATGATGATACAGCATTAAATGAGGAAATGGCCCAAATGGAAGAAGAGGAAGCTCACGAAAAGTAAGCAACGTGTTAAATATACATTAGAATTATTAATCGAAAATTTCCTTATTACATAGAAATCCCTATTTTTTATTTAATAAAATATTTTTTATTACAAAATTTTGATTTAAAATACACTTTTTTATAAAGCATTATAAAATTGAGGTATACTGTTTAATGGAAGGCAATAATTTATGCTTGATAATTTATTGAATTTTGATTCGTGAGACATAAGAGGACAATTTTAAGATATTTTGATTTACATCGCAATTTTGGAATTTATGTAATAATAATTAAGGGTGCACCCGTATGTACGTTTATTTGAGAGGAGGAGGATTACCCTCTCAATTTTGAGGGATTCGTTAGTTTATTTTCTCGATGAATATGCAATAAAATTTGATTTTTACCTTATCAATATACTTCATATAATATACACATGTTCATGTAAAAACTTTTTTCCAAAATCCTCAGGAATTAAGGGATTTTTGAATTTTAAGAATTTTTTTCGAATTTTTTCGAAAAAAAATATTTTCAGAACAGCCTTAACGGCTAAGATTTAGGAACAATGTTAAGTATCAAAAAGAAAGGAGGTCTGATATAGACAACATATATCGTTGAAGGTTGAAAAAATCTCTAATATTTGAGCCCAAAATTTCAAATTTTAATTTTTTGAAAAAAGAGGCCACCCGTATGTACGTTTATTTGAGAGGAGGAGGATTATATTTTTGAAAGGGTGAAACATTATGAATATGTTAATTATATAATAATATGTATTATTATAAAAAAGAAAAAATAAAGCACGTTAAAATTTTTCTTTCTTGATTTTTTACAAAATCTACTTAGAATTATGCAAAATATGACTAAATAATTATAAATTTCAAGTTAAATTTTAATTTTGATAAATAATTTAAATTTCAAAATATCAAGTTCAGTTCGACTATGTATGTAGTAATTCCTCAATAAAGTGCCAAAACCCTATTAAAATATATGAACATTTTCAACATTTTAATGTTTTTATTTAAAAATTTGTTGGAATATGAGCTTCAAACAATTATTATGTAAATAAAAATAATTAAATATATGTATTTATTCGTATTACAACCGTAGTAAGTCGATTCTTCCTTTCTTCTACTGAGTTTTGAATTTGATTTCGAATTGTAAAGAGATTCAAAGGGAAAATACTAGCGGATAAAAACTACCTCCATGAAAGGGTCATAATGGAGTCAAGTTGTATTTTTTGATATGTTTTGCTTTTCGAGCCTAAATAGGTAGCCAAGATAATGCCTAAAAATAAGGTTCTAAATTCTGAAGTTTACATGATCCTCTCGTGTGCACCCTTAACACTTTATATACACCCTTATCATTTTGCTAAATATCTTTTTCATTTATTCCATATGAAATAAGTAGTTCAGCAGTTACTTAACAATCATTACGTACTGAATAATGAGGTATGGTTTCTCCATTATTATTCTTTTCATTAGCATTAACATCATGTGAAATAAGAACTTCGACTGATTCTTTACTATTTTTTCCCTAGCTGCAATATAAAGAGTGGTTTACCCATATATACAATATGAAATAAGGATTTCAATAGTATCTTTATTATTATTACTCAGATTTCTGTATTGTTTTAAGGCTGCACTTTCGCCTATCTGACTTTAATTCAAATCTATGACAACTGGCGTTAAGCACCATTTGAAGGCCCTGTCATAGGGGCGTAAGTGCACCCTTAAAAATAAGGTCGACAAAAAAGTGCAGAAATTAAAATTGCGGTTCAAATTATTAAGGCTGCACTGTAGTCTGTAAGTAAACTTCAGAATTTTTTTGACATCGATTTTGGTACCTTCGAACTTGACTTTTTTTCGAAAAAAATGAAACTTCATCGATTTAATCTGCAGACAAAAGGCAACTATTTCCTGCAAATTCGCTTATAGGATTTCCATTTTTTATATAAATTCGAATCTAAATTGTGCCGTTACATCAGGTACATATCAAATTCAATATGTTGCATGCCAGAGGTAGCTGCAAAAATTGAAGAAGTCATATGATTTTCAAGTTTTGTCCAACTTTGGGACTTTATTTCTTTAATTATTTTCCGTTATTACTTTAGTTTTTGAAAAATAATACTAAACGAAAAAAAAAAAAAAAAAAAAAAAAAAGGGAGTGGGGCTTCCAGGCACTTCGTGCCTTCTAGCCCTGAGGATGAATGAGTATAATGAAGTTTTTTTTTTCTTGGGGTGGGCTTCCAGGGGCTGCGCCCCTTCTAGCCCACATAAATGAAGTTTTTATATACGGGTCTTCCAGGAGCTTTTCACAAAATATATATGTTTTCATGTTTTGTCATGATTTCATCGTAAATGTTTTGTCAAGACTTCTTCTTCGTAAATGTTTTGTCAAGACTTCTTCGTAAATGTTTTGTCAAGACTTCTTCGTAAATGTTTTGTCAAGACTTCTTCGTAAATGTTTTGTCAAGACTTCTTCGTAAATGTTTTGTCAAGACTTCTTCGTAAATGTTTTGTCAAGACTTCTTCGTAACGAGTGTAAATGAACCAAAAATAATGTTTAGGTGAAGAGGTGAGATTTCACCTGTTTTTTCACCTCTTTTTTCACCTCGTGAATTTGTCATGATTTCATCGTAAAGACTTTGTCAAGACTTCATCGTAAAGACTTTGTCAAGACTTCATCGTAAAGACTTTGTCAAGACTTCATCGTAAAGACTTTGTCAAGACTTCTTCGTAAATGTTTTGTCAAGACTTCTTCGTAACGAGTGTAAATGAACCAAAAATAATGTTTAGGTGAAGAGGTGAGATTTCACCTGTTTTTTCACCTCTTTTTTCACCCGTTGAATTTTCATGAAATTTACACCAAAAATAATGTTTAGGTGAAGAGGTGAGATTTCACCTGTTTTTTCACCTCTTTTTTCACCCGTTGAATTTTCATGAAATTTACACCAAAAATAATGTTTAGGTGAAGAGGTGAGATTTCACCTGTTTTTTCACCTCTTTTTTCACCCTCTCGAAAATCATGAAATTTACACCAAAAATATACTACTAGGGTCATTTACGAAGAAATCTCAACAAAGTCTTTACGATGAAATCTTGACAAAACATAGACAAGAAAGTTCATGAGAAATTAGATGAAGAAGTCTTAACAAAGTCTTTACGAAGAAATTCATGAAAATTCAAGAGGTGAGAAATGAGGTGAAAAAAGAGGTGAAATCTCACCTCTTCACCTAAACATTATTTTTGGTTCATTTACACTCATTTACGAAGAAATCTCAACAAAACATTTACGTTCATGTTTGACAAAACATTTACGAAGAAGTCTTGACAAAACATTTACGAAGAAGTCACAATAAAACATCTGTCAAAAACCGCTTTTTAACTTCACTTAAAATGCCACGTAAGCTACGTAAGAATATACGTAAGAGGAAGAGAGCATTGAAACATCCAATAGTAAAACTGACACCACAACAACAATTGCAACAACAAATAATGAATGACCCCACTATGTTGCAACAAATGTCAAGCAATCCTATGCTTTTAAACCGAGTCATTGGTGCACAGAGTGGAGGTTTAAGAGCGGCACTTTTAGCGAAAATGGCAGGCTATGGTGGAGCTGCAGACGGAACAGCTTATAACCCTCAAAGTCAAATGAATTTGAGTTCACTCAAAAATCAAATAACAGATGTCAAAAAGTCAAACATAGACATACAGAAGCAAATAAGTGAAAACGAAAAGAAACTAGAATATGACAGACACACAAAGAAACTCAATGAGTTAAACGTAGAGAAAAAGAAGAAAGAAGAACAACTGAAAGAACTAAGTACAGAGGAATATGCGAAAAAAGTGTCAGAAAAAGCAGCAGAAGTAGCAAAAATGGAACAAGATGTCATAAATTTGAAAAACCATACTACTCAATATAAAGTACTGAAAGATGAAGAAATAAAACAAAAAGCCCTGAAGACATATATGGATAGCGATGAGTATAAAAAAGAAGTTGAAGCAAATGTAAAGGCAGAAAAACTTTTACAGTTGCAAAACCAAACCGTACAGTATGAAAACTTAGCACAAGAAAGTAAAAATAACGACGCAGCCATGCAAAAGGCAATGAAAAGCGCAGAATATATAAAAGCTAACAATGACTGGTTAGATGCCCAAGCCAACGCTAAAGCAGCCCAGCTTATAGGGTCAATAAGGACAAAAATACAAGCGGATGAAGATAGTTCAAATGAAGCTTTAACAAATGCTGACTTTAAGAACGCCTTCGAAGCTCTTCATAGTAAGGTGAAACTAGTGAACGACTTCTCATCTGGAAAGAAAACTGAAGTCTGAAGGTTTCGACAAAGAGTTAAAAGAAGTAGCACAAAATATGACGAAAATAACAGATGCAGCAACGAGACAGGCAGTTCAAAGTGCCTATGACGCCGTTAGAGCAACTGTTGTGAAAAGTCAAGAAAAAGAGTTACAACAGACCAAAACAGACCTAGTAAATGCTTTCTTAAAAACGAAAAGTCAGGTAGGACATTATGCTGCAGATGGAACATATGTGCCAGCTGGTGGAACTTATATGCCAGCTGGTGGAACTTATATACTAGCTAGTGGAACTTATATACCACAAACCCTCCAAGAGAAGCACCTGCACCAGGACTACCTAAAACATTTACATCGTCACATGGACACAGACATAGGCATGCACCAAAACCAACAGTTCAAAACACTGCACCACAACCAACAGTTCAAAACACTGCACAGCAACCAACAGTTCAAAACACTGCACCACAACCAACAGTTCAAAACACTTGCACCACAACAACCACAAACAAGCAAGGACATAAAGAGAGGAGAACAAGGAAACCAAGAATTCTTAAAAATGCTTAAGGAAAATTATGGTTACCCAGATACTCTTGACTTTAGTGACAGATATAAAGAAGCTATTCGAAAGTTCAAGGATGGAAATACTGACCCGAATCTATTTAGCTTTATGGCTCAGCACCAAATCGGATATAATTTCAAACCTGGAAAATACAAGCTCGCTAAGGGATATGATTTAATAGCATATCATCAAATGACATGGATGAATTTACTCCGAGATATTTGGTGTCAGAGATAAATGACAATTCAACTATCTTCATGAAACGCGTAAAAAATAGAGAAGGAACGAAAGAAGAAAGGGTTATGAATGCGGATGACTTAAATAGGGAACTTGTTAAAAACGGAATATATGAAAGCCAGCAGATGAGGTACAAGAAACTCCACAGGAAGAAGTTCAGATACAACCAGACATGGAAGAAATAGTTCAGCAACAACAGCTAGAAGAGCCTGAAGGAAACGAACAAGTCACTCCTTTGGAAACTAACTTCACAGAACTAGATGAAGATTTGGAACAGCCGAAAAATCTTGACCCTCAACAAGAGCATGAGGTGAATATGGAATCTTTCCAAGAGTCTAAGAAAGATTCGGCTGACATAGTAGAAGAATATCGAAAAATTGTTTGCCGACATACAAAAGACTCCAACACCAGATGAAAATATTCAGCATAGAATGAAAGTACTGAAAGAAAATGTACACAAATACAACAACCCTTTTTACTTACGAGCATTTAACGTTCAATCTTCGGATGAACTCGGTGAAAATAAAAAGGAAATTTCAAGAAAACATATAGAAATGAAACATTGTTTAAAGTATTCAGAACCTAGCCAAGATGGAAACAAACCTACTTTTGTTTCTGCAGACGATGGAACTACAATGAGATGGGGTTCATAAAGCTAATCCAGATAGGTGGTTCATAAACACACCACAATTCCAAGAAGTTGTAGACGCAATGGAAGTCAATGGTGAACCAGATATAGCTGGTATTTTCAGCGCGGCTTTAATGCCATTGAAAGATATGAAAAGATGCAGATATTTTGGACCAGTATGAAATGAACATGGCTGATGGAAATATAACACCTGACGTTCTAAAACATTTATCTCAAAGAACTACACAGAACCATAGAGATGTATATTTGGTGAAGAGTTTAGAAAGAAAGTTAGGGAGGGCGAAGGAAGAGAACCTATTGTACATGACCTTGCAAACGAAAGTTTAAAAATGTCATAAAAACTTACTTTGCAGACAATGAACGAGAAGGGATGAATATTTAAGAAAACTCAAATGGACAGTACCAAAGAAATGTTAGTATTGAAAAACATGTTCCTTGACAAAATAAAACCAACTACAGAAATAAACGACGCAAGACTGAAAGATTGGGTAAAAGCTTTCCCATTCACAAAAGATATAATTGGTAACATGGAAAGAAAACCAGAATGGCTACAAAAACATATATTTGGAAACGAGCATATTCCATATGGACAGGCACTGTTTGAAGAGCTTGAACCAGAAACTCAGGAAAGAGTCATGCAAACAATAAGCAAAGACTCAAATACAGACTATGACAAACTCTTTCTAGGATATAGGTTACCTGAGATGGGCGACCAGAGCCAAAAGGCAAAAAGGACATGGGAAATTTGCAACATACTAGATGAACATAATGCAAAGATGCAACAACTTCAAGCAGAGGGCAATGAAGGAAAAAGAAGAGTTAAAAACCCAGTCAGCAAGAAAGTAAAGCTTGGTCCACGTGGGTTCTATTATGACATATAAATCCAACTATTCTATATTTTTACTCATATGAAATGTACGCCGCTCAGAATATAACGCCAACAGTTTTGGATGCTATGAATGGAAATGTTTCCGAATGGTATAACGAATGCGACAATGCCATTAGAAGGTCAGAAATAGTTCCTGGAACTTACGAATATACAACTGCTGTTTCTTATGGAAATGTAGGTGAGTTTGGTGAAGGCTCTTCAACAACAGTAGATATTGCTTGCGACAGGTTTCATATAATTTCTATTGACAACTCTTTCTTATACGTGGAACAAGACATTGAAATAAAACCTTCTGCCAAGTTGTCTGACAAGAAAGGTTGCAATGGAATTTTCTATGTCGGATACCAATATGCTCCAGAAGTTTTCATGGGATATAAGATATATTCTAACTCTGACTTAGTTCAAACAGTAACATGGGCAAACTATGAATGGTTCGCTTTGAGAAACTCAGTACAACCACAAGCTAGAGAACACCAGTATGCAACTATTGAGAAAATAAGAAGACTTGACCCTAACGTTCCAGGAGTTTATGTTGACCTTTCTGGACAAACTGCAGCAGCAGTAACCAAAGTAAAACTGAAACTTAGAGTTCCTTTGTCATCTTTCCCTCATCTTCAGGTTTTTAAGATACTTACCAAACTGGGCAGGAAAAATTTCTATCGAACTTACTCCAAGCAAAAATAACTTAGTCATTGCACCAACACAAGACCCATTCACTCTTACAGAAGTAGTGGGAGCAAATCAAACGTCATTCGCCGAATTTTGCAAAGACAAAGTTGACTTAGACTTTGGTTTCTCAAACCTCAACACTGAAGTAAACTACTACTTCAATGCTGCTGGAACTGCTTGGGACCCCAGTTAAGTTCACATGCGAAAAGTTTGAATGCAAGAGAATAGAAAGCAGACTTGCAGTCTATATGTTGGACCCAGATATTTCAAATGCTTTAGCTGCCAAATATATTGCAGTTCCACTTATGTTCCCTATACACCAAATATCTGTCAAAGACTTTGCAGGTGAAGTTGGAAACCAAAGTGCTGACCCAGGTGCAAGAACAGATATTGCCTTAACAACTGCAATGAAACATGCAGATACTATGTTTGTACTGTTCAGACGAACTATAAATGACTATTCTTGCTTCTACAACCCTGGTATTAAATACCATATAAACATAGATGGCAAATACTATCCAAGAGAAGAATATTCTACAGTTGAGGATATGAGGTCATACAACTTGACATTAGATGCTATGAACTTTAACAACAACTTCACAACAACCATTAACCCTGAAATGCAAAGTTCTATTATGCCATATGTGAAAGTATGGACTCATACAGGAGGTCAAAAAACTCAATATACAAATGGAGACCGTTCAAACTTTTGGCTTGGCATTCCATTTGCTGACTCAGAAGACTTTATGGGTGGTATTTCAACTGTTGGTACAGTTCAAATACAATATACTGGTGACAGAGACGGTCCAAATGAATTGAAAGCAAAGAAGTTTACAAAACCAATAGCACTTTTCACGGAAGATGCTCTTTTGAAGATTCGTTCGATGAAACCTGCTGGAGCTCCTCAGATTGGCATAACGACAGCTTCCATCGAGCAGATTTTGGCAGCAGGTCAGTAAGTTGTTCTTGAACTGACTTCTCTCCGTCAAATATTGACAGTACGCCAGTTTTGACATAAAATTGTATTATAAACTTACCTTTAGAAATATCGGTCAGTTTTGTTGTTATATTTTTGTCAACGTCAAGAACTTTCACCATCTCAGTTATACCAACTTTCTTTGCTTTATGAAAATATTTAGGTTCAGCAAAGACTGCTATTCTATAACATTTTCCATTGTTTGTATAAAGAACTATTCTATCAATGAACTTGTATTGTTTGTGTGTGTAAACTTTGTTTTGCTTCAATTCGAAGAGATACTCAAATACGTCCATCTTTTTATTCTAAGTAAAATGTCATTTCCGAAAAATAGAAGCGTGAGTGTTTCAAAAGGTTTAATGGCGGTGGCAGATGTGAAGTTAAATTCACCAACTCAAACAAACAGTCAAAGTGTTGTTGTCAATGTCAAAGAAAGAGATGTTGAAGTGGGGAAACCATACGAAGACGAAGATGGTATAACAATAGTTCCTGTAAAAGAACAACCAACATATCCTGAAGTTAGCAGAGACTTAAGTTCTGTTTGCAGATATTCGAAACGACTACCAACAACTGAAAAACAAACTTCAAACTCAGGAGAAGATTTGTCAAGCTTTAGGTATAATGTTAAACTTGGTTGAGCACAACCCTGTAAAAGTGAACTCATATGTCATCGCACCTCGTGAAGTTTGAAAGAACTATTGAAACTTTTGACAGAGGCAGACGATATAAACATCAAAGAAATAGAACCGACATTGCTTGCTGTGGTGTTTCATATAATGTCATTGACAAGATATACGTTATGAAAGGAGGTGAAACGTTGAACTTAAAATATAGTTTCCCAGACGTCATAAAAATATTTGACGACCACAACATTTCATTAAAATTTATTTGCTAAGTAAAAATGTCAAAACTTCTTGAAAGATGTTTGAAGAAAAATAATATAGACTTTATTTCATGTAAAGGACTTTACACACTTTTGAACGATATGAAAGACCCTGTTTTGTTTGTTCGTGTAGACAAAGGAAAGTTCTATGTCTTTACAAAATATTTGAACTTCTTAGACAGAGAACTTCAAGAAACGCCATGTGAAAGTTTAGATGAAGTTCTTCTCCACTTTCAGAAAAACTTTTAAATATATATAAATGGCAGAAGACATAATGGTTTATACTATTACGACTAAAAACCCCGAGTCATATAATTCTATAACAACAAACTTACAAAGTCCTCAAGGACGATATTGTAAACTAACCTTAAACACAATGACGACTAAAGCCTGTTTTGCTCTTTTGACACCAGAAGACTTTATTGTTGTGAATGGTAAAAAATACTCCTTTGAAGATACTTACTCAGATATACCACCAACAGGTTTTGTTGACTTATTTAATACTTTACGTACGAGTGTAACATGTGCTGCAACTAGAGCAGGTTTCATTATGTTTGGATGTCCGACTGAGTTTACTATAAACGATATGAGCTATAATACAAAACTCATTTCTGGTTTTTACTACCAACAGTTTCCTATAACAGGAAAAGGTGTCATACAAGGAATGTCTATTCCATTGACATTAAGCACACCAATCTTATATATTGTTTCAAACTTAGGTTCAAAGTGTTATTCGAATGTCGACAGAAACTATTATGACCAAAAGATACTTATGCGTATAAACAATACTTTCTCTGCTGGTTTGCCTATTGTTCATTCGAATGCAGAATTTTCAACCTTAGTGAACTCAAACACTTTGGCAAGTATAACGTTGACATTAGTTGACGCAAACTTTGTTCCTGTAAAACTTTTATGTCCTATGTATTTGTCAATGACGGCAGAAAGTTTCGAATTGGAAGATGCAACTGGTGAAAGTATTGTACTACAAGAACAACTTCAACAACAAATAGCTCAAGAACAACAAATGCAACAACAAAGTCAAGAATAAAAAATAGCTCAAGAATATAAAAAATATTTTTTTATTTTATTTGAAATGTACGCTGAGTTTGTTGGAAAGGACCGTTGGGAAACTTGTTTGTTAGATGAGAAATATGAAATTCACTGTTGTGAGTCATTTGAAGTCAGAAACAAAAAGACAAAAAGAGTTTTAAGCGGATGGGAGCGAAATGACGGATATGCTATGATGAGGATGGGTGGAAAAAACTATTTTAAACATATTGTCATTGCAACTCATTTTATACCGAATCCTAACAATTTACCTCTTGTAGACCACATAAACCGTATAAGAAACGACAATAGACTTGAAAATTTACGTTGGGTCACTCTTTCTGAAAACAATAAGAACAGAGGCAAATTTGGAGATATTGTATTCGAATTTGTCGACGAACTAGAAGATGAAGCAATTGAAATTACAGACTATGGCAAGCATACGCTTGAGTTTTACTACTATAGCGAAGAACAAGACTCTTTCTACTTTTATACCGGTGTAAACTATAGAAAATTACAAGTATATTTTACTAAGGATGACTATGCTTATGTAAACACTAGAGATACAGATGGAAAACACGTTCATATACTTCTTAACAAATTCAAGAAGCTATATGGCATACCATTTTAAAACATTTTTTAAAAAAAAAATATTTTTTTATCCGATAGAAAAGATGACGAAATATATTTCAGTCAACAAGTACATGACAGAAGTCAAAGAAGAACTAGACCCATTCATATATTTGAATGTTTACTTCTACCATTTTGAAAAGTCTACATTTGACAAAGTTTGGAACATCGAACCCGTTAAGTTTGCTATTGTGACTAAAAATGGTGCGAAATTTGAAGACTTAGACATAGAAGGTTTGTTAGCAGTCAAAGAAAAATTTGACAGAAGGTTCTCAAACCTTAAAGAAGGCAAAGCATACAAACTTGTTATACCTTATGAACCAAAGAAAGCAGACGACTATGAATATTATGAGTCTAAGATAGTTGAAGTTCAAGGTAAATTAGGTAAAAAGATTTTAGAGTCTAAGCCAGTGTTTGCTCCTAAAGAGGAAGAGAACATTGACATTGACCCAGAAATGTTCTAAAAATAAAATTTTATTTTTACATGTCATATCTCACCTTCTCTGGCTCTGGCTCTTTCTTCTCTTCTTCTACTTTCTTTTCTTTCTTTTCTCTCTTCTTCTTCTTCTTCTCTGGTGGAGTTATGTCAAATTTGGCGCAACCATATTTATGTAAAAGGTCTTTGTCCTTTAATAGCTCTTCTATTCTGTTTTCTATTTCATCTTCAAGAACAGCGCATGTGTCTTCTTTGCATTCTAAGAACTTTTGTTGGACTTCATCTTTCCAATCGGCGTCATCTCTGTCAACAAGTCTGTCATTGACAAACTTAAAGACTTCTCTGCCTAATGTTTTATGGTTCTTGTCATATTCCCAGAAACAGAACTTTAGAACAAATTCCCCTTTCTTGTTTACACTATGTAAGATTTTATGGTCTACAGATGTTTTGCTGTCGAAAAGCTTGTCTCGAATATAGATAGCGAAATCGCTAGACATTTTCAAAAAGATAAAAATTTTAATTTTTCTAAAAATATGTTAGAAAAAAAGTTTGCTGACATTGACAAGAAATTTGAGAATGTTTTAAACAAGAACAAGAGGAAGTTAGAAAATGCTCAGATAAAACCCATACATGACAAGTTCTTATTTGCTCAGAATGGTATAACAGGTCTAATCGCACCACCTGGGTCGGGTAAGACTTTCACTTATCTTAAAATGGCTGCACAACAACAAGAACTAGATGAGAAGAACCCATTCTATGAGTTAGTTGTTATTTGTTCGACTTCTGGTCAATTTGACCAAACCGTCAATTCGTTCAAAGATATTATAAAAAAGTCTAAGTTAGTATGTATAAAAGACTCTGAGTTGTTGGATTGGATAAAGAAGTACCAAAGAAGGGTTTTGAAGTACAATGCTATAAATGAGTATATAAATTCGAAGTTTAAAGACCCAAATGAGGAAATGCAGAGAATATTAGAGAAGAAACACTTCAGAAACAAACAGAAAGAGATAGAATACATTTCGAAGAAATTGCAATCTTACGATTGGAAGACTTACCCTCACAGATGTCTTCTTATCTTAGATGACTTTGCTTCTCATCCTTTGTTAAAGAACAGAGAACAAGACATGTGTCGAATTCTCAAGAAGCTCAGACACTTTAACATCTCAGTTGTCATTTGTGTACAGACAGCAAAGAGTTTAAGTAAGGATGTTAAAAGAATACTTACTGATATCATACTTTTCCCTGGATTGTCCGAAGACGATTTCATGGAACTTATGAAAGAGTCCATGGCAGGTAAGTTTGACAGACATGAACTATGGGAGAAGTACAAAGTCATACAAGACCCTCATACTTCTTTCAGAATTCACATCTACGCAAACAAAGTTCAAATTGTAAAAAGTCAAGCTTGAAAAATCTAAGTGTTTAGTCTTAGTAAGTCTGTCGGATGGAAGAGTTCTTCCAGTTGTCGGGAAAAACTTTTTCTGTCGGATGCAAGAGTTCTTCCTGTCGGATGCAAGAGTTCTTCCAGTTGTCGGGAAAATATTTTTCTGTCGGATGGAAAAACTTTTTCTGAAGGTCGACCAAAAAGTTCTCAATTTTCTAAAATTTGAATGGTTTACGGACGAACAACAAGAAAAATTTTTCCAGTTGGAAGGAAGAGTTCTTCCAGTTGTCGGGAAAAACTTTTTCTGTCGGATGCAAGAGTTCTTCCTGTCGGATGCAAGAGTTCTTCCAGTTGTCGGGAAATTTTTTTCTTGTCGGATGGAAGGACTCGGAATGCCAGAAGGATTTGACAAGACAATTTACTTTATAGAGCTACCTGAGCCATCTTTGGTGTCAAGCGTAAAAATAAAGAGTGCAATTTACTCTACTTGTTTGAAGTTGTCAAAATACTCTGTTATCTTTTCTTTCAGTAGCGGTAAATCTTCTTTGAAGGTAAGAATTGTACAACCTTTAATATCATAGTGTGTTTGAGGTAAAGTATCTTGAACTATTTGTTTCACATCTTCATTTGGTGTCATTGAAATCGGTAAGTTTTCGCGATAGAACCAATTTCTGTCAGATTTGTAAATCTTAGCAAGGTCGTAAAAGCTTTTGTTGTTTCTTCTGACTAAATGCAACATAACCATATCTCTGTCTTCTTCATTTTCCATCTCTTCAGTGTAAATCATATACTTATAGTTCTTTTCCTTTCCTTTTGGTACCGAACGTGGTATTCTTTTCTGTATGTTTTTGTCTTCTTTCATCATATCTTCTCTCTGCTTTGTACAAAGTTCGTCAAGAAGTTTACAAACATACCATGCATAGCGAGGTGAAGCCCACATTGCTATTGAACTAACTAGGAACTTATGAACATATATACCTTTTAGATGCAATGGTAAGTTTTGTCTGTCTTGGTACATTTTTTTAAGTTCTACATGTTCAAACTCACTGAGGAGTTCATGAGTGCTATTTAATTCAAACCAGTCTTGTGGTTTCTTAGTATCTGGAGCAAAACATGCTGTCAAAATACTTTGCATTTGGTACATGTCATCTTTGACCGAACGAATGAGACGGAGTTGTTTGTTAAACTGAACCCACTCATATTCTTCATTTATGGCTTCATGAACGATAGCAGTTGTTGTGTTCTCTGATGTTGACATATCTGTCTTTACATACAAAATAAAAAAATAAAAAAAAATAAAACTAACTTTATTTTTTCTATCTTATGAAAATTCATGAAATTTGGTCATTTTTCAGTAAAAATATATTTTAGGTGAAGAGGTGAGATTTCACCTGTTTTTTCACCTCTTTTTTCACCTCTTGAATTTTGTATAAAAGATATGATTTCAGGGATTTTTTTTACGAAGTGTCAAAGTTCTCTTCGTCACTCATAACAGTTATATAATGAAATTTGGTCATTTTTCAGCAAAAATATATTTTAGGTGAAGAGGTGAGATTTCACCTCTTTTTTCACCTCTTTTTTCACCTCAGTTATTTTATAAGCGTTTTACATGAATTGTACGATGTATATTTGAAATCCTAAACAATTTCGTAGCTTCTATTTCTTCTGTCAGTACATCGAATGTTTTAACTATGCCGAAAGTTTCTTTATACTTCTTCTTGACATCAGATAGAAGGAAATCGTCTGCTGTTGGATAGTTTTTGTTCAGAAATTCTAACATGTCCATTTTATTTTCTGCTGGCTTTTCTGCTTCTTTCTTTAAATCTGCATAGTCGTTTCTCATACGTTCTATCTCTTTGACTGAGTAGTTATATTTCCTAATTGCTGCCTTACATTTAGAACATTGCGGGTTCATTTTTGCATTGTACATTGAAACCTTACCTGCTAGTACGACTAAGGCGTCAATGGTTTTCTTTAAATCTGAAGCAGTTGGTCTTATCTGTTCGTTCCATATTTTACCCCTTCTGTCTTTATCTCTTATCTGCCATACACATTCAGCAACTAACGAAACAAAGTTGTCGTAGGTCTTAAATTCTTCAGATTTGTATATGTCAGAAACATTTTTATATACCATATCGCAATCTTTGTCCATAACTTTGTGGTTGCAATGAAATCCAAGAAACTCATAGTTAACCTTACGTATGAACTTCTTTATTTCTACTGAGTCAGTTGCTTTGACTTCTATTTCATCGAATTCTGGAATAGTGAGCTTTTGTTGTTGTATTTCAGGAAGTTTAGGTAAATGGTCAATAATGTCCTGCATTTCATAAAGATACTGTTCATTTGTTTCATCTTTCGCACTACAGTCTAAATTATTTGTTAAAAGTTCTTGCTTTATCTTCTGGATTTCTGTTTCGAAAGTATATGAAGAAGGAATGAAGCTTTTCATCTCTACTAACATAGAAGTTGGGTTCATGACTAACGAGTTTGGTGCTGTTGTTGCTAACATGTTCTTACAATAAAAATAAAAAAATATTTTTTTAAAAAAACCAACTTTATTTTTTATTTCGGGAAAATTCATGAGGTGAAAAAACAGGTGAAAAAAGAGGTGAAATCTCACCTCTTCACCTAAACATTATTTTTGGGTCATTTACGCTCATTACGAAGAAGTTTCGACAAAACATTTACGAAGAAATCATGAAAATTCAAGAGGGTGAAAAAACAGGTGAAAAAAGAGGTGAAATCTCACCTCTTCACCTAAACATTATTTTTGGTGTAAATTTCATGAAAATTCATGAGTTTTCTACGATGTTAGAAAAGAGGTGAAAAAAGAGGTGAAATCTCACCTCTTCACCTAAACTTTATTTTTGGTGTAAATTTCATGAAAATTCATGAGTTTTCTACGATGTTAGAAAACAGGTTAGAAAACATGTTAGATCTAACATTCTAACATAAACTTTATTTTTGGTGTAAATTTCATGAAAATTCAAGAGTTTTAGACCATGTTAGAAAACGTGTTAGAAAACATGTTAGATCTAACATTCTAACATAAACATTCTCGTCAAATACAAAAAAATACAAAAAAATGACACTAACTTTATTTTCTGACTTTCACAAAAGACCAAAAATATACGCTTTACATGTATTTTTCAGCAACTTCGTCAAATAATTTTATAGCACTATCTATTCATCTACTTCAAACGTTTCTTTACCTTTCGTGGGAGCACCATACATCTTCTCAAACTTTTCAAGTAGTTCTGTTTCAGCAGCTCTCATATCGTTAACAAACACAACCTTAACTCTATTGACTGTACTGTCATATCTTTGAGTTAATTATATGTTCTTCCTATCTTATATCTCTTTGTATTGAAGTCCTTCGGTTTCTGAACGATGTAAAGTAAGCCCTCACTGCAACGTTCCGTATCGATGAACCATATGTTATGAAATTATATCCAACAACTGGGTCAATCCATAACAAAACTATCGGTAAAGACTTTTGTCAATGAGATATGCTGTAGTTCCATAGAATCTTACCGATTCATAAGCTCAGGATTTCTTGTCAAAATTTTCTGAGTTGAAGCAATTCCAACCCAATGCCATGTTTTCTTTCCAGATGGAGATATAATGTCTGACAAAGAATATTTGTTGTATTTCTTGAGTATCTTACGTTTAAATCACCTATTCTAACCCGTCATTGTCTATCTTTTTAACTGTTTCAAACTCAATGTTTAACATATCTGTTCTTACATACAAAATAAAAAAAATAAATAAAATAAAACTAACTTTATTTTTTCTATCTTAAGGAATTTCATGAAAATTCACCTGTTGAATTTTGTATAAAAAGCAACCCGCTGTTTTCCGACGGTTGCTATATTCTTCACAAAATGCTTGTTTTGAGGTCGAGCCACTTTTGGCTCCACCGTATTCTTTCAACCAAAAACTCATTTTTGTCGAATTCAGCACAAAATTCATGACAAATTCATGAGGGTGAAAAAACAGGTGAAAAAAGAGGTGAAATCTCACCTCTTCACCTAAAATATATTTTTCAATACTTTTTCAGCACTTCTCCGTAGTTATATATGAAAGACAATTCGAGATAAAAGTCGTAGTACAATGGAACAATATGTTGCACACCATTTGTTGTGAACCAAACTTGAAAGTCAGAGAAACTGTTACTCGGTGGTTCGTAAAATTTAGAAGCAAAGTCATAAAAGTCCTTACCGATACAAAGAAAACTATTGTTGCTTGAACTGAAACTTGCATGACACATAACATTTTGAGGGTCAAACACGTTTCTATAAACTGTCAATCTGTTGGTGGGCGTATAAACCAGAACGGACCGTCAGGTGGTAATGGTTCGTTCTGGTTTAGTAACCGAAGAAATTGTGCCCAAGAACGTTTGTCTACTTGCCAAAATAAAAACTGTGTATCTCTTGGAGGGTTATTTTCAATCCTTTGAAATGAAACTGTGGAGTTCATCTTGTCATATTCTAGTTTCAGATAGTATGTTCCATTTAGTAAAGAATCGTATTTTTCTTGAAATTCCCAGTAGTATTTGTTTATTTGAGTTTGAAAGTCATTTAGAGTTTTCTCAAGACTTTCGTCTGAACGAACCGTAAAGATTCTCATTTCGTCAAATTTGTCTAGTAGACCGTCAGAACCTCTATACCGCCCATGAAAATATACTGCAAACATAAACGCGTTAGTTCTTTTTGAAAACAAAACTCTTCTAAATCCTATTGCCTTTGCATCTGAAGGACTTTGAAGCCAACGAATTGGATAGTCAAAGCGGTAGGAGCCAGATGAAATTTCTTCATCTGATATATTCCTACCGGCATTTGTGAAGATATAGTCTAACGGTTTTGTATCTGCTACTTTTGTTCTTTGTTTTTCAACCTGAAACATTTAATATATGTAAAAATATACTGTTTTAAAATAAATGTTTTAAAAAAGTATGCCATATAGCTTCTTGAATTTGTTAAGATATAGTCTAATGTATTTTCCATCTGTATCTCTAGCGTTTACATAAGCACAGCCTTCCTTAGTAAAACATACTTGTAATTTCCTATAGTTTACGCCGGTATAAAAGTAGAAAGAGTCTTGTTCTTCGCTATAGTAGTAAAACTCAAACATATGCTTACCATAGTCTGTAATTTCAATTGCTTCATCTTCTAGTTCGTCGACAAATTCGAATACAATATCTCTAAATTTGCTTTTGTTCTTATTGTTTTCAGAACAAGTGACCCAACGTAAGTTTTCAAGTCTATTGTCGTTTCTTATATGGTTTATATGGTCTACAAAAGGTAAATTGTTAGGGTTCGGTATAAAATGAGTTGCAATGACAACATGTTTAAGATAGTGTTTTCCACCAATCCTCATCCTAGCATATCCGTCATTTTGCTCCCATTCGCTTAAAACTCTTTTTGTCTTTTTGTTTCTGACTTCAAAAGGCTCAGAACAGTGAATTTCATATTTCTCATCTAACAAACAAGTTTCCCAACGGTCTTCTTCAACAAACTCAACGTACATTTCAAATAAAATAAAAAAATATATTTTTTAAAAAAATGTTTTTATTTCATGCAATGTTTTTCTCTTTACTTTACGTAACCACCCGCTGCCAAAAGCCTTTGACGCCAACCCATACCAGCTAATGAAGGTTGACTTGGTTTAGTCTCCAAACTAAACTTTGGTTTTGGTTTATCTTCAGTTTTTGGCTTCCCTTCTTCTATTGGTTTTTCGTCACTTTTCGGTTCCTCTGACTTTACTTCACTTGCAGGTATGGTTGTGTCGTCAACATCTTCATAAATATCATATGCCATCTGTTTTTGTTTTCCTTTCAACTTTTTGTGTTTGTTGTAAAGTTTAGAATATTTCGACTCTAAGTCAATGAGATGTTCTATAATGAACTGTTGGTCGGTAAAATATACTTTTCCATCTGTTGTCTCGAAAGCTCCTTCAGACTTCAATATTTTATTTGTGAGAGTCTGTTTCTTTTTTGAGATACTAGCCGTTCCATTTCTATGAAAAGTGACTTTATAGTTAGGGTTTGTATTTCCAGACCTGGCACTTTCTATTATTGAATTTTTTTCTTCATCTGTAAGTTCTTTGACAGGTTTTGACAATGGTTCTGAACTTTTTGTTTGTGGTGTCAAATCTACCGTTTCAACTTCTTCGGTCATTTCATCTCAGTAAAAAATTTTAGTTTGGTTTGTTTTCAACTGGTTGTTTAGGTTTTTTAAGTCGGTCTAAAACTTCTTGAGGTATAGGAAGAACTTGACAAACACGTGGTTGTGTAACTGCTGGAAGCCGACAAATCCATCTTGAGCCCATTTGTCTCAATGCTGTATTGTTCATTTCATCTCAGTAAAAAAATTTACATTCCCCACGTTTGAGGCGGTTGCGGTTGGTTGTTGTTTACCCACTGTTGTGCATGGTTATATCCTCTGTTAAAGAATCTTTCACCTTGGTCCATATAGTGCCCTGCTTGGTTATAGTAGTCATTTGCTTTGTTATAGTAGTTTCCTGCTTGTCTGGAAACATTATCCATCCATCCTTGAACTTTTCCTCTTGTTTCAGGATTTGGAATAAGATTTGTTGCATCTCGTGCTACATCCCAACCTTTCTGTACAGTTTGTATAATAGGTTGTGCTTTCTCTTTAAGTATACCTAATGTACTCAAAATCTTCCTTCCAACTCCAAATACACCTCTGGCTATTGTTCCCACTGCGGGCAAAAATCTAGATGCAACTCCTGCTAATGCGCCAAATAAACCCATTTCTTATAGGATAAAAATGACGAATCCAAACAAGGACCCCTATGTTTCTAAAGCGACAAAGAAAGCACTCATGGTAAAAATCTTTAGTTCAACACCAAATGCTTGGTTTATGGATATCTTGGAAAACATTCCGAGGTATAGAGAAGATGGACCACCATACTGGCTAATATTTGTTGGTCAAAACACAAGATACTGTGAAGCCATACCATTACAATCCAAAAATATTTTAGATGTGAAAACTGCTTTGACAATATTCGTTGACAAATACCATCCAACAAAACTGACATCTGACTGTGAAAGTTCTTTCAAATCAGACGATATTAAAAACTATCTGCGTTCAAAAAATGTAAACCAATATTTCATTGTCGACCAAAACCATTCTGCTCTTGGTGTCATTGACAGTTGTATAAAAATCTTAAGAGACTTAAACCAACCACAAGGTGGTGAGGTAGATGAAATGTCATATGACGACAAGTATAGACACTTCTCCATGGCAAAGATGAGACAAGTTTTAAATATTTACAATAACCGTAAACAAAAAGGTTTGGGAAACCACTCCCCGAAGAAATGAAAAACAACCCTGACTTAGAGAAAGACTATATATTTAATAGTTTAGTCAAAAGAGACAAACAAGAAAGAATGCCAGGCTTCAAACTTAAGAAAGGTGACAAAGTAAAAATAGAAATACCTAAACGCGACCCATATGAAAATACTATTGACTATGACAACAATGG